GTAGTCTGAGAAAACCTTACTAGAGGACACAGAGGATCACCAGCAGTAAGAGAGTACTCTGACATTCTGAGAGTTTGGTTGTGAAATAAACTTAATTTCGAGTATATATGAATAATATATTTTATATACTTATTTTTAGTTTTTGAAGTGTCGGGATTCGGCTCCAATTCCAAATGGTATTGCCAGGGCTTTGGTACGCCCTGGCAATACTGAACCCCTGACTTACACTGAAGTGCATACATGTCTGACTTTTTCACATGATTGTCTATGACTTCGTATCTCCATTTAATACATGTACTTTAATATAAATCTCAGGTGAATTTTCTCAGTAAGTAGCATAAAGAAAATCTATAAAACCCTTTTGACGAGCTTGGACTTCTTATTATCGTTTTATATAGCAAAATAATGTAAAACTTAATAGATTTGCATGTTAAAATGTCAATTCGTATACCAAAATAAAAAAGGTCAGAGCACTTCAGTTCTCGCCAGAATTCGCCCCTGCTAGCTCAGTGATAAGCTTGAGGCTTATAACGCCAAAATTCGCTTGTGGTGGGCACACCACAGACAATTCATTGTATAAATGATAACAAGGGGTAAATTGACACATCTAAATGAAAACTTTTTCTAGTTTATTTTGTGTGACGTTTCGAGGAGACGCCCTTTGTCAGACATTAAAGACCTGAAATTGACTGAACTAACACATGTGATTGTTTTTAAAACATAAAACCCTGCTAGTTAGATATGACTTTTATCAGGACGGTGGTTGATTTTTGTTGTAAAATTAAATTAAGTGAATACAAACTTGCAAACCTAAGAAAACAGAAAAACGTCTGAAGTCATTTTGTTTTGATCACAAAGTAGAGTCATTTATTATTAATGTATACTTGAGCAAGAAAAAAGCATTTGTTTGTTTCTTTGTTGTTAAGCACAAAGTTACACAAAGAACTGTCTGTGTTCAGCTAATTGCGGATATCGAACCCCGTTTTTTGCGCTAGAAGCTCTCAGACTTATGCTGAGTCACAAGGGGAAGACAAAAGAAACTTAATACTGTAATTCTGCTTTTGATCACCAGGAGTACAAGAGGTGGAAAAAGTGTTTTTAAAACTTATTCATCATAACTAAGAATTGATTGGCCTTATACATACAAAAACTGATACAATGACGTAGTACTTAAGGTTTACGAAGTCTTACAAAAGAATATTTCATTTTGAACACCATGTAGGGAAATCACAAGTTAAAACAAATATGTGTTTTTTTAACTAAAAATCCTATCCCCATAGTTTTAAATTCGATACATGTACTTGTGCTTAAAAAAGCAAAAACTGACTTTGGAATATGTAGTTAGTCAAGTTAAACGTAAACTGTTTATAATTGACGTTAGCCTTTCACGAACAAAATTACATAAACATTTTGATTGAGCTAAAATTATAAATTTTATTGATAGGAACAACTACAAAACGATTGTTCCAACTTATTTCCCTAATTAGAGATAAGAAATTTTTGAAAGGGGCCAACTTTAAAACTTCCTGCAAGTTATATTGGCTAATATTTTCTTTGGTGATGTATAAGTTACTAGAAAAATGGAACATAGTGACAACAGAAGCCAAGTATATAGATAACAATGGTAATAATGAAATTAATAATAGCAATGATGAAAGCGCATTGCCGATTATTGGTATAGGGTTCTTTACTTTTGGTTAATTGAAAGTACAACAAAAACATGTAATTACACCTTTTGATAAAAAGGTTAGAAAAAACGACATTTATACTCCAGATAATTACAAAAGAAGTATTTATTTTAACCAACGTTTCGTCTTACAGTATCAAACAGTTTTATGTACTGACCCTGAAGAAGCCGAAAAAACAAAACTATGGTTAAAAGAAATAGTTCTTTTAAAATTATATGGAGTATAAAGGTAATTTTTTCTAACCCTTTTTTTAAATCAAAATATGTAATTACACCTCTAAATATCAAACAACAAATTTAAAATTGTAATGAAGCAAAAGCACAACACCAACGGATATGTTTACATGTATAAACTTTAATGTCCCCTAGGGGGTCAGCGGTAAGTTTATGGACTTGCAACGCTGAAATCCTGGTTTTGTGGTGGACAGAATGTAGGTAGCTTATCTTGTTTCTTTGCTACAGATGACACACTCAGGAAACATTATTCTTCTCGTCAAAAGGACAAAAATTTGTTTATTCAAATAAAATGCTTACTTTCTATAACCAAAGATTGTTTTTGTCTGTACGGTTTATTAATAAAGTTAGGTGGTCTATTTTAACATCCAACATTCGAAACCTAATCAATAGAAAGCTATAATATTTGGTAGATGAACTGATGGGATAATGGCAAATTTCGCGCAGCCCCAGAGTTCTACTGGTACAAATGACAGTATAGCTATTTGGGCACAGTCATCATGTTAACCATTCGCGTTCATTATTTCTCTTGGACCGAGCAACCCAGTGTAGCATGCTTGACTATGGATCCGAAGTTCAATGGTTCACACACCATTCCCCCCCCCCACAATAACGTTTTACACTTTGTAGCCGTTGGTGCATTATAAGAGTGACGACCAAATCCTACTATTCAATTATAGCAGCCCAAGAGTTGGCTATGGATGGTGTTGACTATCACTTCAAAATTAGGGACGTCTAGCTCAGATAACCCTTGAGTATCTTTTGGCGAAATTCAACAAATCAAACAATTGTTGCTTTCATTCGTGAAAGAACGTGATACACATCTGAATGATCCTGTCCGACTTTCAACAGTCGTTTACACTTGGTGTGGTGTGATATCTTTCAAGTCTGTCGAAGTAGCGTGTACGTCACGGTAAATCAAGGACATCAATTAACCACATACTCAGTAATCAACAAGGGTGAGATATAAAGACAGTACTGGCCATAATTATTCGATCCCAGAATTGTTGGAACGGTAACACAAATAACCGATCTGCTTTATTCAAATTTATTTATAACCTTCCAATGAGCCTCAGTGATGCATAGTCCTTCTTTTCGTCGCTTTCTTTAAGCACCAGCCTTATTACCATAGCTAATGATTTACAAAAACTATTCTAATGTTCAGGGATAAACTGAATAAAACTCTTAAGAACCTCGGTGGAACAAGATGGTCAGTCAGATCAGTTTCAACAATTATTCTGTATGAAAACTACGATAGAATTTATACCAACCTTGAATATTTATCTAAGGATATTGATGCAAGGCAAATAGTATGAAATGAAACTACTGATTTGATGAATAAAATGAGAACGTTAGATATTGCTTTTATGACAGTGTTTTTATATAACATTATTCGAAGATTTGATGCTACAAAAGCTAAGCTTCAAGAGAAAAGCCTTGATTTATCTACTGCTGTAAAGCTTGTCAGTTCGCTGAAGAAATATGTAAATTCACTATGTGAAGAATTCGATGGGATCGAAATTCAAGCTCATCAGCTTTCAAATATAGTAGAAGAACAGTTTAGGAGAGAGATTTATAGAAAGAGAAAAATAAAGCTGGCAAATGATGAGACTTCTGAAGGTGAAATTAGTTTATCTGGAACTCAGAAGTTTCGTGTACAAAATTTTATACCGGTAGTTGATAAGTGGTGTTTTTTATTGATGTTTGTGCCTTGTTCTTTTTCTGTAATTTATTAGGTTATTTCTGTAATGTATATTGTTTATTCTGGTTTTAATTTCTTTATATTTACTGCATACTTTGTAGTTTGCGGAATGTATTTGTTTACAATTACAACAGTACAGATTTTCATATTCCCTTGGACATTGTGCATTATGATGGTCTCCACTAAAACCCACACAGCGGCGGCAACATGTCCTTACGATTATGGCCGGCATTTTTTATTCCTCGACCCGAAATATCTGATAACAGAGTACCATACCATTTGATATTATACTCTGAATATCTTATGTGTCATTTGCATGTACTTTGACTAGATTAGTTCTTTTTTGTGTTCTTATAGATACTATATCTATATCTTATAGATACTACTATTTCAATATTTGTGAAGGAAATGTTGTTCTATGTTAATTCTTCTTGGATCTGTTCGAGTTCAAAGTTGAAATGTACTTCTCTAATAACAAATGATTTTGTGATTGGTTTTGTTCCTGGCAAGTGTATATTAATCTTACCAGGTTTAAATATATCATTTGGCCATTCTTTAAAGAGACTGTTACAGTCAGTTACTTCAGCTCCTTTTACTAAAACGTCGCCCTTAGCTGAGTGTTTGATAGTTACGATTTTAGTGTTTGGCTTGCATCGTATAACTTCAGTAGCCAGTTGCGGCTCTTCGTACGAAGATGGAACCCCTTCCATTATTATTGCTAACTTTGGGGGGGGGGGGTTCTTTATGTTTTGAATTTTGTATGTACTGTGTGTTATGTTAGTGTTTGGCTGTTTGCTAATAGTTTACGTTGCCTCTTAGAGGTAAGCAACGTAGAGCCATCACTGTCTGTGTTTGTGTGTCTTGTTTCTGTTTTTGGAATATCCAAGTTGGTGTTATGAATTTGCTTTTCACTACTTACGCTGGTATCCTGACATATTTGTACGTCATTTTCAGTATCCGTATGGTTTGAAGAGCTATGGCTCGGGAGTGTTACTCTTCGTCTTCATTTTGATTTTTGTTGTTTTTGCTAGTTTGTGATTGTTCTGTTTCTTTAAATTTGTTGTTTTTAGAGACTGGTAAGTTTCTTCACACTGAAAAACAAATAATGTTTTTTTTTGTCTTGGCCGCTCTGGGCAGGTCGTTTGTGTGCCACAACCACTTCGCAGTAACTAGTAGCTTTTTTTTTTCTCGCTGCTGAATCGAGGCTATTGAATTTTCTCTAGGTCCAATTTGTGATAAAGGTTAATAACTGTTTTTCAAGAGCAAGTCTAAAACACGTCCAATCTGTTCGAAAGCTAGAACGGGAAAAATCATTAACTTAAACATCAAACACTTTATAAACGATTTAAATTTTAAGCGCGGCTTTTACATCAGCGCCATCTTCTCATCCTATTTGAAACATGTCTACATAGGAGTTATTGAAAGGAAGTAACTAAATAATATTTAATAGTGAGAGTAGGAGAGAAAATCAAGGACCAAAAGGTAAATATCCAATAATTTCATTTTTAAATTTATGTTTTAATTGTATGGTTTGCCCAATTGCTTATGTTCTAAAAATAATAGTAGGTCTGTAATTAATTACTGCAGTACTACTACTAATGTATTTAAGATAGTTATGTTTAACACTAACACTGGTTTGGTAACAGTCACTCTCGTAGTTTATTTAGTATTACTCTTAACGTTAATACTAGGCCTAGTAAACAAGTAGCCGGTGTGGTGATTATTTTTTAAAATAGTAAAATTTGATTTGATTTCAGGAACATTCGTGTGACATCAAAATTATTTTTGTATTAAACTTGATAAAAATGTATTTAACTTTAAATAATGTAATTTATTTTCTGAAGCCGATTTGGACGTGATTTACATTATGATTAAGTTTAACTTGATTAAGTGACTAACTTGATCATGATGACTAAGACTAAGAGATTGGCTTAAAAGTTAAAATTTAAGTTAAATTAATAGTTCAATATTTAAATTTGTTTTAACAATATCAGAAATACAGAGAACTATAGATAGCTTTATTTAAGTATTTAAAATTCTTCACGGCATGGATAACCTACCTGCCCATAGATGATTTATTAGATGGTGAAGAATAAAATTGTTAATGTTGGATTAAATATTAAATTTCAAAAATTTAACTTTTAAGCTCTAAAAGTAAAAGCTTAGATTCAGATTGTTTGATCTTAAGAGTTATAGTATTGTTTAGTGGTTTGCATGTTGATGTGTTGTGTGTGTTTTTTAATATATTTGAAATGTTTGCTGGGCTATTTTGGTCTTAATGGAAACCAAGGTAATTGTAAGGGACAACCTATTAGTTTAGCAATTACTGATAATAAACCAGTTTACCTTAACCAGATAGTTTTGTGTATAAAACCAAGAATAACATATATATGATTACAAAATATAACTTTTTTATTTTCTGTTTATTTACATATATGTTATTGATAAGGAAAATTATTTTAAATTAACTTGTCTTTTTCATATCCAGTCATGTTTATAATTAAAAAAACATTGTTTGCTCATACTTACGATGCCCTAAAAATGTTAAACCTGCATGACGAAGAATGTGTGTGTTTAAGTGGGTGAATGATAAAATATACCTACAATTTATTTGCATTATGTGGTGTCTTAACCATATGCCTTAAATTATTGGACATTTATTCTGAGATATTTGTAATAAACCCATATAAAATAATAGATTAAAAAAAAGTGAATAAAATATAATTTAGGAGGTTAATTACATCTATAAAATATTAATAGTATATTTTCATAAACTGTAGGTACTGTTTATAGACATGGAAACAGACTCAACAGGTTTAGGAGAGCTGCTTGAACAAGCTGAGCAGTTGACAGCTGACATTGATGGAGATGGTGAACTTCCACGTGTAGAGAGAAACTTTAGGCAAATTTTAGAAGCTGGGCAACAGTTATGGACTCGTACAGCACAGACAAGCAGCCGTGATACCTCTGATGTCAAGGCGTTAGTACATGTACCTTTAACATAACCTCAAAATAACCAAAAATTGATATAAAGCTTTGGCTTCTGCATTTATCTTTTTGCCTAAACAAAGATAAAATCTAATTGAAAGTTTCAAAACAAATTACTTTGAATAGTTTTTTACTATAAACTGGTTTAATTCCTTCAACTTTGAATAAGAAAAATGAATTTAAATAGCATTTTGAGTACTTTTAAGTAAGGTTAATTTATACATTTAGGTCAATTCTACTTGCAAGCAAAGGTTATGATCTTCCTCGGATGTCTCATAAGCTGGAGAGCTTAAGTACAGCTAAAACATTTGAGCCAATTGAGCCTATACGAGAAACAGATATTCAGGTATGTTTGACTATTGATGGTCAAAGGTATGATTGAGAATAAGTTAACTAAAAAAACTATCAGGTATAATTTCATTTTTATTGTGGTTCATATTATCTCTTAATTATGTCCACTGTGGTCATAAATGGAAGGTTCACATTTCTCATTAAAGAAAATAAATATTAGTAGTAATAATGATATATTGAATCATTCTGGAATGACATTGGAAAACTTTTACCTTTTTAAAAAGTAATGATTTGGTTGAAATGTTTTATTTGTTTTGAAAGTAATTATTTAGTGGGTTTCCATTTGTATTTCAAAGAAATTTAAGCTTGAAATCCTTCCATTAACTATTTCAAAAGTATTCATTATTTACTAGAAATAGGATTAAAATAATGATGAACCTTGTATAATAAAGAACTTCTTTCCTAATTAATCATTTTATAAGCAATAAACATTTTAAACAGTGTTGATATTACTTGACATGTTAAAAATGCTTAGAAACTAAGGTTTAATCCAATTATAAAAAACTGTCTGTATAAGCTCTAGTTCTTTAGCTAGTGATTGCTGATAAGAGAACATTTAGTTTTACAGGAATAAGAAGAATAGTATGTGATTTGATTTTATTTTTTACAGGGTTTTCTGAGAAATGAAAGAGAAAATGCCATATTGTCTGTTATAGAAGAATCAAAAAAAGCTGTAAGTCAAGTATTTTGAAGAATTTCAGCTTTAGCTGAAAAAATATTTATGATATTATGAAAGTAGATTCTATCTGGTGATGTTTGAATTTTTCATTTTAAATGTTTTTAACAAATTAACTTATTTATTATGGTATGACTGTTATTAGTAATGAATTTTAGTTTTAATGTACTGTTGGTTATGGGGCTAGTTAACAGGACCAGTGCATAATCCAAGTCTGTATTAAAGAATAAAAATCTTGTAATTAAGTAGTAACAAGTTGTTATATAAAAGAGGTATGTAAATTTTATTTATGACTAAACAAAATTATAATTAAAAATTCTGGTTTTCTTTGTTATATCCAGCAAAGCTTACTTGTATATGAAATATATTGATCTAAAATCTATTTCAGCTTTTTTATCCTGTAGTAATTAAATGTTTCGTGGAGTTTATGGTTGAAACCTTTTCTGTTACACATTAGAAGAAAAAAAACTAATAATAAATGTTTGTATAAAGGAAAGAACAAGATTTAAGCCTTTCTGGTGGCAAATAATTACAGATTTTGCAAAAGAGGGCACTCACGTTCTTGAAGTAGTTATGTCTTTTTGTAATACAATGTAGTTGGTAACCTATATGATTTTACATCTATTTTTGTACCTCAAAGTATTTTAGATGACAAAAACAAAATATTACATCATGATGTACAGGGAATGATGCAAAGTAAATCCAATATTTTCATAATTATAAATTCCAGAACTTCTTGGTAGGTGGCAGTATAGAATATGATAACTTACATTTGTTTATGTATAGCCAAAATATCTAATAAATAATTTCATTTATAAAGCTCAAAATTTGTAGTTTATTAAATTTTTGTTTCAACTTTTTCAACCATTTGGTCACTAACTTGACCATGTTCCTGATACATATCATGTAATAGTTACTAGTGTTTATGAGGGGGGGAACTGATATAAACATTGGTCACCTGATACTCTCTTTGTTTTATAATTTATTTGTGAAACTAAAGCTAAAACATATATTATAGAATCTTTTTGTTTTTATGCTTGTACGTGATAAATTTTGTTTTTTTAGTTATTATTTTGAAAGCTGAAACTGTTGCATAATATATCATTTTCTGTGTCCATTTTAGTGCATAAAAATCACACTAACATTTGAAGTCAATATTATACAAAATTCATTCTTTTTTGCTTATTGAAAAACCTTGTAAAAACTTGTGTCATTGGTTTAATTTATTTACAATCATCAAACTGACTTGTAAAGTGAATGATTATGGTAACTAAAACCAAGAACATTATTTTTCTACATTGTAGTCATGTGATCAAATGATAAATCCTGAATTATATTAAAGTATCAAGATCAAGTTAGATAAAAGCTCATTGGTGAAGATCACAGAGAGATTTGTGTTTTTTCTTTAGTACATTTGTATCAATTTAAGCATGTTAGAGATTGAATTTTAGTTCCATATTGAAATTATAGATTGTAAGTATTAAGCATGTTAGCGGCCATGGGCTTTGGTTGGTTAGAATTCTTCATTTATCAAGGTTATTCAGAAGTTGTGTATAACAGTTTTGTAAGCAATAAAGAATAGACTTTAGTTGCACAAAAGTAAAGATGATTGAGTCATCATTAATAAAGGCCACACATAATTATGACTTTGGTACATTTGTTTGAAAGTTTTTATGAGGTATTAATGAATTGTGTGGTTTCGACTTACTTTTATCACTCTCCAGACCTTTGAGCGAGCTGATAGACTGTACTGGGAAAGTTTAGAAAATGAGTGGGAACAGGAAAAACAGAGGATTTTAAATGCCTTAGTTGGGTCATCACAAGAGGTTATAGATGTGACATTAGATGCAGAGGTAAATATCTTTTAATGTAAGGAGTTCAGGAGTAGTTTAAATAGCAGTTGAGATGATTCATGTGTTGGGTAGATTTTTCTAACTAATGTGGACTTTTAGCTAGATCTGATGATATATCAATGTACTTATATATGAGTATTGTAAGTGAAATAAAATTCAGTGATGAAATAATGTCTGTTATTCAAGTATTAAATACAGACATAGTGAGCCTTGAAGTATTAGTGCAAATTTTTCAATTGGGTTTTACACACAAATAAAGAATTGTAATGTAATAATGTATTTATATATGTATAGATGTATATAAGGTAGTTTAGACATGTTGCTAAGACCCATGATGTATTAGTGTATATTTATATAAGTAATTCAGACATAAAGATTTGTAATGTATTAATGTATATAAGGTAGGTTAGACATGTTGCTAAGACCCATGATGTATTAGTGTATATTGATACCAGTAATTTAGATGCAGAGATTAAGATATTTCATATATTTGTGAGTATTATAAAGTAGATTAGATACAGTAGTTGAAGTTTCTTTATTTGATATTGTATATTTATAAAAGAGTTTAGACATGATAATAAAATCTTTATTTTTAATCTTATATTTATATGAGTAATTTATATTTTAAGATAAAGATATCTAACTGAATATTTATAGAAGTAAATTAAACACAAAGGTAAAGATTCTTAATGTGTTAGCATATTTTATAAAGATAGTTCATGCATGTGATTATCATCTCTGATGTACTAATATATATTTATACAAGTAGTTTAGACACAGAGGGAGATATTGATGTGTTTTAATGTACATTTAACCAAATGATGAATAGACTTTGTATATTTTATTAATGCTCTCAGAAATGTGTTCTTAAGGAATAAAAACAATCATAAAGTCCACAAGTTTGTTTATTGAAACGACCCCTGTATGTGTAAAGATCAAATGAAGACCACAAACATAAATTTCAACAAATATTTGCCTTGTGTGTTAGATATTAAGCAATTACTGTAATTCAGTTGTGAAATATTTTAATAAATACTGTATTTATATTAGATAAACATACAAAAATACCATGAATCATGTAATTCAGAGTTTGTCATATTATACTGCTATTCATTTATTGATATTTTTCCTACCACAACCATTTTTTGAAGTATGTAAACTCAACAAGAAACTAATAGTTAAAATGCATCAAGAACTCGCTGTGAAGATTATACAAACTTTTTTCTGATTTTTTATACTTAGAGTAGTATCACAAAATAGTCATGTGACTAGAAAAAATAATTGATGTAATTTTTCTGTAATGTATATTTGTTTGTCATTATTTATAATGCTGAAATGTATATGTAGTAAAAATACTATTAAATAAATATATTTTTCACCATTAAATCAGTCACAACTAAAGTATGGAATTATTGATAGTTGTTTGATATAATTTATGTTTATTTTAAGGGAACGTTTTTAAATCATATTTTGTGAAAAATAAATCTCTCTCTACAGTCCACAATAATGGAAAGCTCCAGTATTGTAGGTAGAAGTGCTATGGACAGTATAGAGATGGCTTATGCTAAAGTTGTAAGTACTTTTTCTAATGTCTGTTCATTCCTATAATAGGTTTTGCAGTTGAGTGCACTGCACATTTCTACAAGAACAAGATATTTAACAGAGTTATTTACAAACCTAAAGTTCTTAACCCTAGAAATACTGATGAGGTCTATTAAACACATTTTTTTAAACTACTAACATACGAAATTGATTGTGAATCTATGACTGTTGGTTATAGTAATGTATGAGGCATACAAAAATCTAGATAAAAATACCACAGCTAATTCTACTATTTCCTGCTTGGGTGTCTAGGTATCTTACAAGGAAAATGAGTGATTTTAACAAATTATTTTTTGTCATTTCTTTACAAGGAGTGTTGTAAGAGGTCAAAAACATGAAATTACACAGTTTGGTGAAATGTGTGCACATCCATCTGTAGGGGATGATATAAAACACAAATTGGTGATTTGAGGGTCAAAATGAAGGGCATGATATGCCATTTTTTAATAACTGTATGAGAAAGATGGTGTGTACCTAAATTGGTCTGAAATAATATTTGTGAATGACATGCTTTTGTTTGAAGAGATCATTTGATGAAACCTAAAATTGAATTTTCTTAGTCAAATAAATACAAGGCTTGCTACCATGTTAAACAATCTTAATAAAATGTGAATTCATGTTTGATGGCCAAAGAAAATTCATAAGTACCTCTGTGTCAAATGACTAAAATGAAATGGTGTTGGTTTATAAATAAATTGACTTGCAAAAAATCATTTTGATAAGGTTGTATGGTGATGACAAAGTGAAAAGCGTAATTTATACTATCTTGTTAAAAGAATCATTGAAACGAAGTATGTATTATTGTTATGATTAGTAGCTTATACAATCATCTAATTATTGAGTAGTTTATTGCACTATTACTGAATGCTAATTACTATGTAGTTTATCTCCTGCATTTCAACTTTTAATCCGATGCCATCTTCGGGGATCTAAAATAATTAACTAATCCATAATTAGATTTAGGAAATCATATACGCTGTTTTATATATGTTTATACAAATGGAGATACAATATCTTAAGAACCTTTTTTTTAAGTGAACTTAAAAAAGCTTGCTAAAGACTAACTGCAGTTTATGTGATGGCATCATCAGCTAACATACAGACTGACCAGTCACTAAAAAAAAACATATTCTTTAAATAAGCATTAAAGGTGTGGCATTGTAATCTACTATACTGAACAAAAATAAACATAAATAATATTTCTTTTTATGTTCTTTACCCTATTAATCAGACTGATAGTGGAAAATTTATTAGTTCTGTATGCTTTTAGAAATACATATTGTTCATAGGCATATAAAGCTATTACAAAAAAACTCCCCAATATGAGGTTACTATTTGTTTTGTGTGGTTAATTAGAAATGATTGTCTCAGATTTACCAGTACAATGAACAAGTAGTTCAAGGAGGATTTAAGTACAGCCTTGCAGAAAAGTTTTGTGAACTATCCAGAGATTTGGATGACAAAGTAAGAGATTAATAAATACGAGTTTTTCACTATTATATGTTTGCAGTTTTTAATTATCATATTATTAATTTAATTTTTACATTGCTATTTGTTTTAATATTGTTTTTTAACATTAGATTAATATCATTTATGTTGGTTATGAACAGTGTGAAATTATTATTTGCATCAAGATATTATATCTGACAATAGCATCTTGTACTTGATATTCTTTATGTATTATTATTCTTAGTTTCAACACAATTTTTGTATGACTATTTTTAATGCTGATTCTGTTAATACTTTAAACATGCTAGTAATTTTCACAATATCTTTATTATGTTACATATCAGGCTGTTTTAGGGGTATTTTTGGCTTACTGGCATATTATGATACTAGTTTTTTATCACTTTTGGTTCATCTTATCAGACTACTAGTTTATTGCAATAACATTGGATATATTTTACATATCATAATACATTGTTTGTAGTTTTATCTTGTACTTTTTATCCCTTTTAGCGCTGTAGTCTTAGTTGCAATAAATAGTTCGTCTTTTACTATGGTGGTAGTAATTTTGAATGTTCGTGTATAATGACTTGCTGTCTATTTTAAATATTTGTTGTATAATGTAATGAAAATAAGTAAAGGTTTCTGAAGAATACAATTTTATTTAGTTAAGAGAATGTATATCTCAGATTATGTCTGAAAAATTAATGTTTTGTGTAAACCAAAGTGAGCAAGAATTTAGTGTTTTTATTTTTTAACAGAGAATATGTTTATATGTTATAAAATACATCACATATGCATCTGAAACTGTGTTGTGTTTAAGTGAGGTTATATTTTGTGATAAAATGAGATTACAAACAAAAATGGTTATAATATAGAGAACTTAACTAATGATTTAATGGAACTTAATTGTAGCTTTTAGTTTTCTGGTGTATTGATTTACAACATTAAATATTTCTAGTCTGTACAAGATTGTTTTCATTAATTTACATATTACTTTTAGATTATTTTGCTCTGATCTCTCTATTTTTCAGCTGATTTTTGAACAGAAGTTCTTAATAATTATTTATATGGTAGTTTTTATTAATAATGCCAAACTGATATAACTTGAGATGCAAAAGGAATTTAATATTAATCTAATGTTTTAACTCATGGTGGAATCTTTGTTTTTCACTTTATTAAATTTTAACTTTTATTTCATTTATGTTTAATAGTTAAATTAAAAATCAATGTTTTTAATCTGGTATATTCAATGCGCTAAGTACAGCACAGTTGTTAGCATTCTGGACTGTAAAGCTGAGGTTTTGCAGTTTGCTTCCAGCAAAAAATATTGCATTATAAGAGTGATGGTAAAATCCTACTATTTGGTCTGACCTGGGTTGGCAATTGGCAGTGTTGACTAGTTGCTTTCTCTTAGTTTAAAATTAGTGACAATTAGCACAGGTAACCTTCAAGTAGCTTTGCACAAAATTCAACAAACAAAAATATTGGTACATTTAGGATATTTGTTTATTTTCTACACTATACTTTTTTACCTTGACTTGAATTGTCCAGCAGAAACCAAGCATTAGATTCACTATATCTTTATTTACAATAAAAGTTTTTCTTTCTTTTTTTTTTTTTTAGAAATTATTTGCTACTTTAAAACAATGTATTTTGGTGTGTATTAGGTGCACAATGTACCAAATGAACCAACTCAGGAATTAAAAAGTTCTTCATAGAGAGATACTTGTACATAATAGAAGAAGAATGTTCAATGTGTGGCCAGCAAACTATTTTACTTTCATTAACTTTTCTTGTATATATTTATTTTTTTCACTTTGACTGTTGATGGGTTTGTGACAATACTCTGACACATTTTAAGTGGGCTGCCTTGTGATAAAAATTAAAATCCTTGGACACACATACAAGTTAATTATTAAGGAAACCTCCATTTTAAAATGATTATATCTTAAAACTACTTGATCTGGTAAGATACATTTCACCAGTAGCATAATGAAAACCATACATTTTATTTACAAATGTTTGCTCATGGTACAATGTTTCAAAATAACTGTTATACATTCATAATCAACACAACAAGCCTACTTCTAAATGAAATTACTACAAGCATCATCTGTTTTGGACAGTTTTCATTGATCTTGACAATATTCTGCACAATATCAGACATTTTATTCAAATCAACAATCTCATATTGTTGAAAGAGAAAGAGGAGAAATAAAAGCAGTGCTAATTTGTAAGAAAATCAATTTAGGAATCATGTCCAAACTTTCTTGAATAACATTTATGATTTTCATTGTATCTATGGGAAATTTTGTTTCTCTGAGACAAGTACTCCTGAAATATAATAATTTTAAAAGTTTTTGCTTGTGTAATCAACCTGTATACTTCTCATTACCAAATAAATAAGATGATAACATGATAATGCAAAAAGACAGTTATTGTTCTTTACTTCAGTATTTACTAATTTAACATTTTTTTTTAAATTTTGGTTAAAACAATAAGCAACAGTGCAAACCATAGAAAACTTGTATTAGACCATGTTATCTTTTTTTTGTAATATGATATTTCTAGTGCATATTATTTCTTTCAAATTTTTTCTTTTGTTTTTTCATTCAGAATGTTTTGGATCTATGGACAATGGTTGAGCAAATGATCAACGTTCCACTGACTACTGGAAAAGATATTTTGGAGGCTCGCTCCTCTGTTGCTATGCAAACATCATTGATCAGCCAAGCCCGAAAATATTTGGAGCAGAAGTAGGTTGAAATTATCTTTGTATGTATGTGCATTAATTGTTAAGCTATTTATGAGTAAGCACTTGCATAATAAAATTATGAAATAATTCCAGGATGCTAAACATTTTAGCAAATGTAGTAGAAGTTTTAAAGCATTTTGTCAGAAACCTTTGTAGTTTGCTGCTTTATTACATGCCAATATGTGGCAGCATTTTGTTTTTGTTTTTTATTGAGTATCTAAAAATAAACCTGTTAGAGGAAGAATTGTTTGTTTATAAATGTGTCAGTGGAAGAGAGAAGTAAATATGATGCAGAATGTCAGAGTTTCCAAAAAGAATCTTTATTATAAAATGTGGAACTCAAAACATGAAAATTTCAAAGCAATCTTTATTAGATAGATGTGGAGAATAATCCAATGGAAATATCAGAGACATTCTTTTAACAATTTAAAAAAAAAATATATGGCTCAAGCTTACATTTCAATTATTTTTCAAGTAAGAAAGTGAAATACTCCTTTTCTTTATGAATTTTTCATGTGTACTTAGCAGATCCACTTATTGAAGCAAAAACATATTAGAAAATGGTGAATAAATAATATCCTGAAATTTACATAGATTTTAACCCTTCCTATACGGGTCACAGGTGAAAGGCCATGTCATCTCGTTTGTTGACTCACATTCAAAATTATAATTCAAATTCTAGAACTATATATTACTCAATTTGTTAACTTAAAAGTAAATATTATAAAAATACAGATAAACATCGATTTTTTTGTGTGTTATGTGGTATGTTGAATGCAGCACTGGTTCAAATTAAATGTTTGTGAAGTCAAAATACTAAGTTTATAGTTTCATATGAATTAGAAAACTCAAATTACAGATATTGACAAACTAGAATATAAAATAAGAAGGTCTTGTCTTTTCTATTTGCTAAAATATTTATCACGTAATATATCAATCATAGTGGCACCCCACTCACCTCCTTCCATTTTTAGAAATGCTTCCTTATAAACATTTACTTCTATATATGAAATGAATAACCCCTAGTGGTTTTCTAAGTCTTTCTAACGTACCTAGCATCATTTCTTTCTTTTAAATCAAGATTTTAATGAGGTAGATTGTGTCTTTAGTCTGCTCGAAATTTCATATTTTTTTAGAGTAAGATTACTCATAGTTACTAAGCTTGATAAATTATAGTAAAATTCTATGGTATTGATGTAGTAATTTGTGATTTTTTAGTTATTCAAATGTATATATAAAACCTAAAAAAAAGTATTTTGTTTCATGTCTTCCACGTGCGAATTTTTTAAAGGCTTAGCAACGTACGTCAAGTAGCAACCGAGTACAAAGGTCGTAACTGGAAGAGATAATTGTTTACTTTACTTCTTTATTTGCTTTTCTATGTTTTAGGAAAAATAACTTTAAGAGGTTATTTCAAAATAGCAATAATCTATATACATATATATAATAAAATAAATATATATAAATGTATAATATTATGAGATTTAAGCTATTTCATCTAAACATTTATGTTTTTATGTTATAATTTGTGTTCATTCTAGAATGAAAGATGCATAATTTATGTTTATTTTCTAATTTTTTATGGTGGTTGCAAGATCGGTCAAATTTACTGAACCCGTACAG